TATTGGCAATCACTTGATTTATAATCAAATTAACCCTAAACAAGATTATTAATTATCTTATTAAGCGTGATTACAAGTACCAATTCCCTTTAAACATGCATAAAAGGTGTGATCAAGCAATTACAATATATAAAAATCAGGCAACATAATAATCATGATAATCCAAATAAACATAATTAAAATAATCATGTTAAAGCATAATAGCAAGATCCTAGGCATGATACTAACAAGATTAATAACAAACCCTAGCATGTCACTAAACAATAATAATCAAAGCTTTAACCCTAACATGAATATTAAGAAAGGAATAGGAAGCATTCTTTTAATCATACTTGATATTAGAAATTTTATTTGTTACTCTAAACATGAAACTAGGAATCAAAATAATAATCTAAACATGATTTCTATATCATAATATCAATTAAACAATTAAAGCACTTACTTGGATGCCTCGTACCTCTTTCTAATAACAAATTACACACGTTAGTAATTTCAAGGAAAATAATAATCAAACAATTAAATAATAGAGAAAGAGATTTGGGACCAAACCCTCAGAAATACCAAACCTTTCACTTTTAGGGCGAAGACAACTTCGAATTTGGCTAGGTGTGTCTAGGTCTTGCGAATGTGAAATTTTGTTTGTAAAAAGTTGGTTTAGAAATAGAGAGAGAGAAAATATCAAGAATTTCTTGATGAGACTCGGTGATTAAAAATAGAGGTCTAAGGACACCATTTATAATGAAAACAGTCCGGATATGATAAAAAAGAATCGGAGTTTGAAGAGGAATAAAACACGCTTTTGTCGCCGCAACAACCCTTGGCGTTCGGCGCTGTAGGCGATTTTCCACACGTTTTCTATTTTTTTTTTAAAATAAGTCGTAAAAGTCCGTACAAGGGATAAAATCGTAGTTTCATTTAAAATACTTCTTTTATTCCAATTAAAACTCATAAAACTTAATTATCAATCCTAATCCCATTAGGATTCAAAAGAACCTTCTAGAAGATTCTAGAAGACTATAATCAATCCTAATTGCATTAGGATTGATAATTCATAATAGGCACTCCTCTAGATCATTGGGCCGCATATAGAGATCAAACTGAGCACAGTTTAGTAATTTGGTCATAACTTCCTCATTATTCATCGAAATTGGGCTTATAATATATCGTTGGAAACCTCTTTTCGAACCCAAATCAACTACACTATTATTGGACCCTTATTATGGAAAAAACTAAACTGGATTGGATATTTTCATAAAATAAAATAGGTTTTCGAAAACAGAAAGGAGAGAATTTTTAATAAAAACTAACCGCAACACTAGACTTTCCACACTTTCACTTCATTCAATCATGATTGGACGTGAAAGGTATTCATCACCGGGTTTGGTTTTGGGGAGACACAAATGGGTGTCTACACCTATATATATATATATATATATATATATATATATATATATATATATATATATATATATATATATATATATATATATATATAAAATTCCTAGAGTGAGTGTAAGCCATCTCATTTAACTTAGTGCAAAATTGAAAGTACAAAATTAAAACTAATAAAAATATTGCATTAGCATTACAAGATTAATTATCAGTACCACCAATTATCTAATACATGAACTAATAAGTAGAAAACGACTATGTTAGAAATACAAAAAGTTGCAAAAATTAAGAAATACTCCCTCCGTCCCTTATTGATAGTCCCTTTTGCTTTTTTCAAGTACCATTAATATTAATTTTTTTTTACAAAAATTCCCTCCAATTTGCTATAGTATTTGTGCAAATTTAACTTTCCTATGTAAATTTTGTATTTCCATGTACTTTTATTACTTTCTCTCTCTAATTTTTTGCATACTGTGACACCCAAATGTGTCTCCCCAAAACCATACCCATTGATGAATATCTTTCACGCCAATTGATTATCGAACAAAGTGAAAATGTGAAAAGTCTAGTGATGCGTTTGTTTTTATTAAAATATCTCTCTTTTTGTTTTTGAAAATATTTCTTCTTATACTCTATTTATGAAAACGTCCAATGCAATTTAGTTTGGTCCATGATAAGGGTCCAATAATAGTGTAGTTGGATGAGCCTAAAAAGACATTTCCAACAATATATTATAAGCCCAATTTCGATGAATAATGAGGAAGTTATGGCCAAAATACTAAAATGGGTTCAAACCGAATTTTACCTACAGCCAATGATCATGTGGAGGGTCCAAAGGTTTAATCCTATTCCTAAAATAATTGGTATTAATTGGAATATATTGTAAGTTTCTAAAAGATCTTAATTATCTTTTTTGAAAAGATAAGATCAAAGAATTTGCATTTGAATAAAATTCCTCTTTTTAGAGTCCTTGTTTTATACGAAGTGGAATATGTTCAGATATTATTTTCATGACTTGTAATATTTATCCAAATATTATATGTTTGGATATATCTTAAAATTATCTTTCCAATAATATATTTTAATATTAATTTCGAGCTATAACGAAAAAGGTATTAAATAAATGCAAAATTATATCCAAAATTGACACCCTTCCACTATTTCGGCCATATCTTTTTATCTACAAAAGATTCTAATATGATTTTAATTGGATGGGAAAGTATACTTCAAGAGATTTCCAACGACATATTATATGACTTATTTAAACTTTTGGATCAAAAGATATGATAAAAACAAAAACTGCAAAAATTGCTGTCCATCGAGTTTTATTTCGATTCGAATTCAGATTCTTTTCTTATTATTCGAGTCTCTTTTTTCCTATAAATAGAGGTCATATCTCCCCTATTTTAAATAACCAACAATCACTAATCATCTATTCTCTTCCCTCTCTTTAAGCTAGAATCTTTCACTCTCTCTATTCTTTTTCTAAACCTTCCCTCTTACAAAATTCCACATTCATTAGTTATAGACACACCTAGCCAAGTTCGAAGTTGTCTTCTCCCTAGACGTGAAAGGTTTGATAATTTCTGAGGGTTTGGTCCCAAATCTCTATTTCAATTATTTAATTTAATTGTTTGATTTATTATTTTCCTTTAAGTTACTAACGTGTATATTTTGTTATTAGAAAGAGATATGAGGCATCCAAGTAAGTAATTTAATTACTTTATTGATCTTTTGATATAGAAATCATGCTTAGGTTATTATGTTGATACCTAGTATCATGTTAGGATGTTTTTATTGTTTCCTAGTATCATGTTTAGGATTAACTAATACTTCTGATATTATCATGTATGATGCTTCCTATTTCTTTCCTAATATCATGTTAGTATCATGTTAGGGCTAAAGCTTTGATCTTTAATGTTTAGTGACATGCTAGGGTTTGTTATTAATCATGTTAGTATGTATCATGCCTAGGATATTGCTGTTATTATTGTGCTTTAAGCTTTGATGAGATTATGATGATGATTGTGATTATTATGTTGCTTGATATATATATTATTTGTTGGTATTGCTTGATCATACCTTTTATACATGTTTAAAGAAAATTTGTATTTGCAATCACATTTCATAAGATAATTAATAATCTCGTTTAGGTTAATATGATTATAATTCAAGTGATCGCCAATAATAGATTTGTTTATGCATTAATATTCAACCAACATAGATTAAAAAGGTTTAGGGTTAATATATTGATTGTATGTTAGTCAGAAAGCGCACATGAATATGAGAAGAATAAAGTAGAGGTCTATTTTTAGGGCAGGTTCAATCTCTTTTAGGTTATCATCCCCGAACTTCCAGTCATGGTTCCAGACCTATTGGAGTTAACAATCTCATGGATTGTTAAGGGGTGTAAACTTCACCCTGTGAATGGTTTACAAGTTCCTAAAACTTGTTGGCGACTCTTTTACTCCAGCTTCCTTCCCTTTGGTTGCCACCATGCTTAAGTGTATGATCATAGTGGGGCTCAAGTGTGGGATGCTTGAAATATTCCCTACACATACCCAATGTAAAGTTTCCTTTTTAATGTACTTTTATTACTTTTATTTATATTTATTAATTCCCGTGAAAATTGCCCATAAGGAACTATCAATAAGGACAGAGGGAGTATAAATATCAATAAGTTAAAAAAGTGAGTTGTGATTCCATTTTTTGATGAACTTAATTGTGTAGGAGGAGTCGTCGCCAACGCCGGAGTGGAGTGTGAGACGTTTTGTTGAGAAGTTTTTAGTAAAAATGAAATTGCTTGTAGTAAGTAGAGAGAGTGAGAGACTAAAGAAGGAGAGAGATAAAAGAGAGACTTTTTGTTTAAAAACTTGAGAATGAATATGTGCGGCTGTATGAAACTATGAACATTAGAATAGGTTTTTTATTTTAATTTTGTATTTTTTAATATAAAAATAAACGGGTGATGGATCAAGTGACGGATGACTTAAAGCTCCATTTAAATCCGACCCGATTCGTCATCCGTTTCATCTACCACCTGCCTTTAATCCATTTAAGTCGGGTTTTCATCCATTTAAATAATGCGGGTGGAGCGGGTTAAGGGATATCCATATAAAATTTCCATCCTTACTCCCAGCTTGCCCTCTCGCAAAACCACCCCCCTTCCCTCCCTTGCCCTTGCAAAACCCTGTCCCCTGTCCGAAACCCATTCCTAGCCGCCGTTAAACAGAGAGAGAAATAAAATCTCATCTGAATTGGGGGTAAAGAAATGGACGAGGTCGTATTTGAGGGTTGGGGAGGAAATGGGCCGGAATCTGGGGGTGGGGATGGGGATGGGAAAGGGGGTTGGAATGTGGTGGTTTCCTGTGAGGTGGGTGGTTGGGAAGAAGGTTTTTTTTTCCTTTTAAACCAATAGAAATGCTACATATGTAATTAATTAACAAAAAAAGGTCATCTTGGGACTTTTGGAAGAAAAATGACCTAACTAAAAATCCCAACTAAGCTTTATTATCTAATAATAACAATCATGGGATCAGTTTGCCATTTGTAGTCTCAACAAATCATCAACCTGATATAACAGCAGGTTTCTTTGACACGTTGTAACACCCCCAAAATTTGAAATCTTTTTATAATAACTAAAATCACATTCTTATTGAAAATCGTCATTCAAACTCTGGAAGTGTTACTAAGAGGTATAAGATAGTTCGATAAAAACAAACATTAAACTATTATACCATAGCTAGGTGGTCTAAAACAAGTATAACTTATTACAACCCAAACTTAACATAACTTAAACCAAAATTATATTAAATGACGACAAGGTCAAATAGTCTTATTCTGTTCTATGATACGTCCTCACTCGAACCAACCCGTCTTACCAACCTGCAAAAGTAAATAGGAAACACAAGGAAAAACTCCAAAATCAGATAAACTGAGTAATCACGACTCCATCCCGTAAAATAAATAATTTTGTTTTGAAAACATATATTTTTTACGTGAAACAATAAAATAAGTTAATATAATCAAGTTAAGCACTCGCACAGGTAACAAATGACATAACCACACAAGTTTACTTACAACATATATTTAAAAAAGGGAAAGAGAACGCTAGTAGGCCGGGACTAATCCCAAGTAACCACCTACTTACAAGGGTTGCGCATCACCCTGTATTGACCAAGTATATGTCAACAAAATATCCCTAGTGTGCACACCCCTCACTAATCTAATGAGTAACCACAATTTACCGCGCACCAAAAGTATTAGGAGGTAGACTCATGAAAGATAATAGATAGAAAAATGTAGTACCAAACTTACTAGAAGCCTATTGGGTATCCACATATGTGCACCAATAGAACAACATCTAGTAGGGAAACCTGTTCTTCACCCTTTTGGGGGTTTCATTTCCCTTCTTAAAATTATTATAATTTTTAAATTCTTTGCAATTAAACACTTAGTCATAAAATTCACGTACATATAATCTAAGATTATACTTATAAAAATGATAGTACCCAAGTCACTTTTTAAAAGAAATAAAGTATCATAGTACATTGTATAAAATCGACATATCAAAACATCATATTCAAAACAACATATTTAAAGTATCAATACTAAAGATAAAAGTAATATCATCCATATTCATAATTTCATATTATACGTCTACCACATAATGGCATCAAAACGGTTTCCTAACGGGATTCTATATTCTTGATGGACATCGAAAATTACCTTGATAGCGCGTAATTTTGTCTTACTTATTTCCTGAGCGATCTCCTATGTAGCCTCCGTCTATAAATAAGCGGGTAAAAAAAAATAAATATATCTAGGTTTGTGCATATATCATACATGTATATAAACTGTACCCTTGTATCTAACAAAGCTAAGAATGGCAAGATTAATAAAATAGATAATAAAAAAAAAATCAAGTTAAAACCAAAATTGCAAAAATCCGATTTTGTAAAACCACCAAATATCATAAAATAGGAAAAGAAACACTTGCTTTCTTAAAAAAAAAAAAACCCATCCTTTTCTTCTGTTAAGTTCTCACGAACTACAGAGATGAAAACCCTTTTTTTTTTTTAAAGAAATCTCATAATCCCATAAGATTAAAACACAATTACAAGGAAGAAAAATGAACTTGAGAGCAAGAATGCGGAAGATAGCCGGTATGATTAGTCGATATATTGGGAATGACAAGCGTGCTTGCGTCGGTAACGATGGTGACGATCATGGTAATTAAAGGATAAGAACAAGATAATCAAATACTCTAGCAAGGAAAATATATCAGAACTAACCAATAAGTGTATAATTTCGAGAAGAGGGTGGTTCATGAAAAATTGGTGGATGGTGAGTTTATATACTTGCAGGGAGGGAGAATGAAAGGTTAGGGATGATAAAAGGACAATTAGACATTCAATTAGGAGAACAACTGAAATATGTATTGAAATTTCATTGATGGGGAAGATGAGGAGTTTTAATTAACCCATGGTATACATGAACTGGTGAACATACCCAATTTCTCGTCTCCATTATTCCTTTTCTTTTTTAAAGATTAATAAAATCAAAAAAGATATAATATTAATAAAATCAGTTTAATTAAGATACTAAAATCATTTCATCCTTATCAAAACTGTTTGTGATACTATTAGAAATATTTGCATCGTACCAAAAATTTCTTTTCCAAACTTAAAAATCAAAATAATATTTTAAATCGGAAAATTCCCCCTTTAAGAAAATAATAACTATACATAAATTTTACGGGTATTACATGTACTCCCCCTTAAAACAAAGTTCGTCCTCGAACTTTATTGTTATTTAATAACTTTAACTAGAACTCATAACAATAACGTGGGTAAAACGTTAGTTAAAAGAAAATAGGATGTTAGTGTCACATACTACCCCCCTCAAAGAAAAAGTTTCGTCCTCGAAACTTGACATACCTCATGAAATAGCTCAGGGTAACGCTTTCTCATGTCATTCTCAGCTTCCCAAGTTGCCTCCTCGGAAAATTGATTTGACCATAGGACCTTAACTAGCTTCACCACTTTGTTTCGGGTACCTCTTGTCTTAGTGTCAAGGATTTTAATAGGACGCTCTTCAAAGGATAAGGTCTCATCTAACTCTATTAATTCAGGTTGAATAACATGGGTAGGGTCATGGACATATTTTTGGAGTTGGGATACATGAAAAACATTATGGGCATTTGATAAATCCATAGGTAACGCTAATCGATAGGCCACCTCTCCTACTCGGTATTACACACGTGGCATCACGTGAGTAGTTCATCAGAAATACTAAAAAAATTGAAATTTTTTTTAAAAAAAAAACTTACCTCCCTACCAAGCACCCTCCTCTCCCTATAATCTAAGCTGGAATATGCCAGAAACCTTCCCCTTCCTCTTCCACCACACCGAAAACAACCCCCTTCATCAGCCCCACCCCCAAAATTTCCCCCTCCCTTCCTACTGCACCTTTGAAACTTCCTTTAACCCACCCCTCTGCCCTTCGTCAAACCACTGTCCTCCCACCTTGCCTAGTCACAAAACTACCCCCTCGCACCTTGATCCCTCGCAAAACCACCCCCTTTCTCGCCCCTTTCCCTTGTAAAACTCTTTACCCGCCCGAAACCCCTTCACAGCCGCCGGTAAGGAGAGAAAGAAAATTCTCATCAAAATCGGGGGTATGGAAATGTATGGAGCTGAATTCAAGGGTGGGGGAAGGGGATGGGGCAAGAATCGGGGGAAGAAGAAGGCAAAGGATCGAATATTGAAGGGTGGGCGAAGGGAAGGGGGATCAGGATGTGATGGTTTCTAATGAGTAGGGTTTTTGGGAAAAGATTTTTTATTTTCTTATTTTTCTAGATCAATAAAAATGCAACATATTTAATTAAAAAAAAGTAACCTTCTTATCATGTTACCGGTCGTCTGGGACATTTGGAACCAAATTAATTGATGAGTCTATTCTATGCATATTTATTTTCCGTCCCACGGTCATATATTTGTGTTTATTTGAGCTTTACGAAACTATTTTGTAGGATTGGTATTAATTTGTTGGAATTTACAAATTTATGATGATTCCTGAGTATTTAAAGCTCAAGATCGTGATAGATAAATATAATTTGGTGATTAAGGGCTTGATATGTGAAGATGTTCAAGATTCCAAATTACTAACATGGACCAACCAAGATAGAAGATTCTGAGCAAAGTTAGAAGCTCAATCACGTCCACGATCTAGAGCCAGACCGTGAGCTTACTCGAAGCAATCGGGCCTCAGATGAAGAATACTACAACTGGACGCAACTTTTGTTTTTTCCTTGGGCCTTACTGTAGTTGTTCAACTAAAGTCGGTTTCCCAATTTTACGAGCCTTACTATTACTCCATTCCACGCAGCTATATATGGGAGGAGTATTAGTTTTTAGATTTACGTAAGTAGTAATAGTATTAAGTGTTTTACTTTCTTTAGTCTTAATTTTGATTATGGATTTTCCGTAACTTGCTTTTAGTTTGAATTTAATTTTGCTGAGGATATTAGTTTATGTTGGATTATTAGAGAATAAACATTATTTCAGATTATTAGAAATAAACCACACATTGTTGGAATTATTAAAAGGTATTTATATACACTTTAAAATCCCCAAGACCCAACTATAGACAATTTACATCTAATAGCATTAACTAAGGCTTATTATCTAATAATCTTAATTATTTTGCCACTAGTAGTCTCAACTAGTCATCAATCTGATATAACAGGTTTCTTTGACACATGGCCATGTGAGTGGTTAAAAAAAACTTAAAAAACTCAAAATTAAAAAACTGAAAAAAAAACCCTATCCTCCCAACCTGAGGCAGAGCTAGGTGGGGACAAAGAGAGACAAATGTCACCCCACTTTTTTTTTTCTTTTTTAAAAAAGAATTAGTTTATGTACATAATTTTGTGGATAATAATTGATATTAATCCTAACGGTCACTGGTCAAACATCACTTGTAATAGCTTATGAATGGGGGATCAAACATCACTTGTCGCCAACTTGGTATTTGAGATCAACAATTAATCAAGCTACGGGAATAAAGAAATTATGACAAGTACTACATGAAATTAGTTGTATTATGGAAATTTTAACTTTTCCCACCTCCAAATAACCACTTAATGGCTTTGCCTTTAACCACCTCCATATTTTAAAGTTTTATATTACCACACAAAAAAAAGTTAGTTTTTACCACCAATCACCCTCAACTAATGGATTCTATCCAAAATTTTGTTAGCAAGGCCTACCATGTACATGTGTCACCATATTATTGGGTAATTTTTTTTAAAAAATTCAAAATAATTATAAAAAAACAAAAAAAAATTAGTAACCGCTGGACTGACTCCTTGCCACCACTCTTAAAACCTTAGCCACCACCAATCGAAGCCCCTCCCTAGCCCACACCAAATTCTTACCCCTTCCTAGCCCCACATGAAATTCTGACCAACTGAGGGGAGGGGGTTGATTTCGTTCCCGGCTCATTGCCATGAAAGATTAAGGAGATGAAGAGAAAATGTCAAAAAGGTGGACCCTACCAACGAATTCATGGACAAAATTCGTTAATTGGTGGTGAAATCAAAATTTTGAAGCAAATTATCACTTACTTAATTAGTCTCGTCTAACGTGGAACACAATGTTAAGCGAATAAAAAAAGCCACCTACCTCCCTTTATTCACACATCAAATTAAAGAAAGAAGAATAGAAAATTTCTTAGGAAATTTTGTGTGTAACTACCCTAAAGATAGACTATTTTGTGAACAACTACTCGTTTTCAAAAATATTTTTTAGAACAACCCGTAAGATCAAGAAAGTTTGTCTAACACTACCCATTAACAATTTTTGTCCAATTGAGCCTTTTGTGGGGCCCACTTCTACTTATTCCCACCCAAACAACTCCCCTCCTCAACTATCTCTTTCTTCCTTATACTTTCCCTCCATTTTCACTCTTCTTCTTTTACCTTCCACCATTCACCATCTTAAACTAACCTCAGTAAATCTCCCCAAATTCATCCCTTTTGTGGAAAATTAACAAGGCCTATAACCCTTTTCTTTACTGTCTCTCTCTTTCCGCTTGATCTTCTTACTGCTTTCGGTAATTATATGTAAGAGGGTGAAACTTGAAGGATTTATGTCTTCGTCGTGTGCAATTATTAGATATATAAATGGATCAAATTATGGAGATAATTAAATTCGGGCATTTAGGTCGTCGTTTTATCATACCTAGAGGTACTAACGATCTTTGGGCTAGTAAAATAGCCCAAAACCCAATTGGACGAATCCTATAAGGTCATACAAAGGGCCTTGATTGAGCACGAGAGGACGAGGCCCATGATGGGCCTCATCCCCTAGTATGGCCGGCCATATGGAGTAAGGTTGAGGATTTTGGGCTTCCTAACCCTAGTCTAATTATAATGTTAATATATATAGACTAGGTTCCTAGGGTTTGCATGTAAGTTGAATTCAGTTGATCAGTAAGATCAAAAACCGAATTAGAAAACATGAGACCAAGCCCTCTCAAAAACTCTCCTCTCTCTCACGGCACTCTCTCCTCCCTTGGCTCTAGTGTTGTGTTCGTGGTGGTGATGGATTGTGGTGGTTGGTTTAGTCCATTAAAGGTGGTGATTGCGGTTTTCCTCAATCACTCGACCAATCTAGTATCGGTGGACGAATCGTTCAAAACTCGTGGACTAAGTAGAGGATAAACGCTTGGGGCTATATTCTCTCCTTGATTTGCCTATCAAATTGCTACGTGGAATTCACGTTTCAAAGGTATGATTATGTGTCTTGTGTGTTATGCATGAGATTTTGGGATTAGGTGCTAGATTGAATATGATTCATGATTTTCCGATGCGTAGTTCCTATAAACTTCTACAGTGGTATCAATTAGCCTTTTGAATGAACTCCCTTGATCATAATAATACGATTATTTAATGTCCATGTTAATTTTATAATCAATTAAGAGGGAAAAATTAGTTTAATTATGGTTTAATTGTTCTATTTAATGTGATTTAACTTTTGGAATTGATTAAATGTGATTTAATTATGCTCAAAACAGCCATGAAGAGGACCGAATTAATCCCTAAAGTATTCGAATTTTCAAACCCTAGAATCCTAGTTTCAAATTTTTGAAATACCCTAACCCTAATTCAAATTATTTCGAAAATTCATAGCCCTAAAATATGATTTTTGTGCTTAATTTTTATTTAATTCAATTTGTTTTATGTTTCATAATGTTTATCGGATTGATTTATGCATAAAAATGTTTTGTGTATGGTCATCGATTTAATATTAAGAATTAGAATTAAATTGGGATTAATTTTATGATGAACCCTTATTTTAAAGTTGAATGTTGATTTCATTTTAAATTATGGAATAATTGATTTAATTTTTTTTTTATAAAAGTTATTTTAATTAAATTGAAAACCAAAAAAAAAAGTGTTTTAAGGTCGGCAACCGCGTCTGAGTGGCACAGCCACGGCGGCTGCCGACCTGGGTCAGTCCAGAGGGAGGGAGCGAGGGCAGGAGGTCCGGGGTGGCTGTGACAGCAGCGTGCAAGGGTTGCACAGTTGCTGCCACGGCTGCACCTAGGCTGCTGCTGCCGCCTTGCGCGGCACTGGCTATTGCAAAGTAGCCAGCCATCTTGGCTAGCCTTGGCTGGCCACGCACGGTGGCCTGCAGCCCCAACAGTAGCTGCTGCCGCGCTGCTGCCTTATGGCAATGGCTTCCGTCCAAGGCACTCAGCTACTGTGGCTAGCTTCGGCTAGCCAACCACGGTGGCCGGTGTGGTGGTGCTCGGTTTTTCAAAAAAAAAAAACTATTTTTGAAAAATATTTCAAGATAATTACAAAATTATTTTGGTATAAAATTGGTTTTATTTTGGATAAAATATTTTATTTTAGGATAAAATTAAATATTCAAAAGTTGTTATATTTGATATTATCCATATTTAAAGTTGTTAAATGGGTAATTATCCATAATTATAGTGGTTAGTTTTGGAGAAGATTGACTAGGATATTCTAAGCATATTCCAAAAGGATAATAATTGATTTAAATAATGTGTTTATCCCATAATTAGACTAGGATATAATTGATTTTTAAATTATTTGATTGTCTAGTAATTAGGATAGAATCTCCTAAAGTTGTTAGGATAATCATGGAAGATTAAATATGATTTATCTTTCCATATTAAAATAATATTTGATTCTATCTCATGCCTAAATTAAAATATATGATATTTTATAATTGGTCATGAATAATATATGATATTATCTAATTATGATTTAAAATATGAGATATTTTAGGAAATGCATTGCCTTAATTATGAACATTCGATGTTGTAATTTAGACAAACATGTTGAGTGATTTATTATATGACACTTTTATAATATATGATATTATGTTGCTATATATAGACTAGTGTGGCCCATAAATTCTAAAATACGATCTGCATATCGTGATGTATTTTTGTAATACGGTCTGCGTACCGTTCAGTATTTTTATAAATTTTATTTAAAGTAAATAGATTAGTTATTCAAATAGTGTTAGTCCATAGAAGCCCATGATTTAAAGGCCTAAAGGAGCAAGGTGGATGGAGATCCATGATGATTCAAGTGGGAGCTTTTCATTTCTAGTTTTCTTAGGACTAAGGGGCCATACTATGTCATGTTTTATTGCATTAGTAGATAATGCATGTTAGATTTTGTTTATGTTGAATGATGATGCGCTAGAGTTCACTAAATAATCACAACATAAATGAATCTAGGTCCCAGTAATATTGAGATTGCTTTTCCAATTAGATACCCAATAATCCTTGAATAGTGAGTGATGGGTCGACCTCCGCAAAGCGTCACTTGTTATTTTAGGTATTGTGGGGTGGATCACTGATGTATCTATTTTATATAGTATTTTACCCCCGTCCCATGGTCTTAATTGGTAGTGTTTTTGGCTCTTTAGAGCCATTTTTATTACTAATTGGTGTTTCTAGTGTTTTCGTAGATTTGGTTGACTTTTGTAGGGATTTGAACTTTTGGAGCATTTTCCTGAGATTTTACGGAGCATTTAGGAGCATTGGAGAAGCACGACCAGTTTTGATAGCCCAGGGCTGGTTAGAGCCATCAAACCGGTGATTAAGGGCCCGATATATGTGATACCGGGGCATTTGGACCGAGTATTCAAGACCCGAAGAGGAAACCCACATTGGCCCGAAGAATTGGAGCCCAATCGTAGTCCAATTAGTGGCCCAAGAGAGCCGCCTGACCAAAAAGGCTGGCGCCCGGAGGCGCGCCCGGCCGGGCGAAGGAAGCAAAGGTCGGTGCCTAAGGGCGCGAGATTCTTCCCTGATGAGAAAAAAGGCGTGCCCGATCGAGCGGTGCCTCGCCCGATCGGGCGCGTGTTATTTTTAGGAGACGATTAGCGTCGTTTAAGTTTGTTTTAGTTTAGGATTATTACGGAGTATAATTACTCCTCCGTAAAACAAGTTTAGGACTCTCTCTTCTTTACTCTCGTAATTTTTTTTCTTAGATTTTCTCCCTCTACTTAGCTTTTAGATTAGTTTATCTTTCTTATACTTTGTTCTTAATCTATTCTTAATTTATTTGGTAACGATTTCTCTCCTCTTAATCTTAGTTGTTTATTCTATTCCTTTGATCATGTCTTATTCTATTGTTTTGATTAGTTTAGTTTTTATTATGTGTGAGTAGTTTTATTTCTAGGGTTGTGGGGATCCATAAATAATATGAAGGGGTAATTTATTGTTGTTGATTGTCAATGCTAGATTAATTTCCTATTGATTGATTTAATGCTATGTGACTAGATTAGGCCTGATCTTTTATGCATGTGTTTGACAATATTGATTCGAGATTCGACATATGATAATTGATGTTTAGGTTTAGTTTCAATAGGCATGTTAATTTATAAATGGTTAAGTCGAGATTCGAAAGATGAGATTTAATACCGGTAAATTAATTGTGTGATTGTAATACGTAGCGAAAGCCCTTTATAATCTGATTAATGTATGCATTGATGAATGATTATTATATTCTACCCTGGAATATTATTTATTGGTGAACCTATGCCCTAGATTCTTTTATTCATTATTTTCTCCCTATTCTTAATCTTTGTAGTTTAGTTTCATATTCAAATTTATATATTGGTTACTTCATAATCTAGATTATGTTAGTTAATTAGGAATAGAAAGACCCGTTTCTCTGTGGATTCGACCCTACTTCCCTATCTACATTAGTTAGAGGATTTAAGAATTACTTTTGATTTGGGGGTACGACTTTACCCTGTCAATCACGTTATACATATTTAATTGGTTATGACCAATAAGGTTAACTTAAGAGTTTAGAACCTTGAAGCAAAGGGAAATAATTAAACATGTGATGATTAATTATTCAACCAAGAGTTACAAGAGTTGTAATATGTAAAGAGTTTACTCACCTTGAAAATGTAATGGTTGATGGTAGGACCAAAGTCCGATCAAATATT